CCTTGGTCTCAGAGTTCTAGCTTCCAGAAATGAGACAATTTAAATTATTTCCCATGTAATACTTTTATTAATTATTTAGAAATTTCATATAAGACACCCCAACACACTCGCTCTCCATTCCTCCGAGGTCCACCTCCCATCCTCATGCCTCCCTACAACAAAATTAAAACCCCTCCAATTTGTGTTGCCAACATACTAACTGGAGAATGGTCAAATTCACAGTAGCCATCCCCTTAAAGATAAGCGAATCCTTTCCCACTGGATCCACACCACAAGCCATCAGCTGTGAAGACCTACACTTTAGCTTCTTTATTACACTTTTAAGGGCTCTCTTCAATAGTTTCCTGTCTGAACCATCCTTTTCGTGGGGGGGGGGCTCTGAGGGCGATCATCACAGAAGCCTTCAGTGTCTCTCATTCTCAGTTATGAGGCTGCAGTCATCAATACCACTGCAGGCAGCCATAGCAGACCACAGATCACAAACATCAACCTGGTCCCTTGGGGCAGCACAGACCACAGACATCAACAAAGCCTGCTGTGGCATTATGGATCATGGACACCAACATGGTCTCCAGCAGCAGCACAAACCACAGAAGTCTTTCAAGGAGAAGTAATCCAGAAAAAAAAACCTTTCATCATCCTGAATATCTTGTTGCTCAGAGGAAGCACGTGCAGGGACAGGGCCTTTGTGAGCTCCAAGCTGCTGTGTACCACCCTGCCCTTGGCGTCAGCCACCTGACCCACACCATGCTTGTAGCTTGGTTGTGAGGAATATGGTTGGCTAGCAGTCTCTGCTGCTAACTGCTTCATACTTGCCTCACCCTTGTGCAAAGGTGCTGGTCTCCTTGGGGTGCACCCCCAATGACTGAACAAAACCATGGTATAGCCTTTCTGCTTCACACAGGACAGATGGTGAGCCAGTGTCAGCACTATGTACTATCACTCTGGCTTCTAAGGGACAAAGGAATATTTCCATCTGGGACATGAATCAAATAAGCTTGTGTTCCTTGATATTCTTCTTGGCACTGAATACACTTGGTGTCATATAAATGACTTGAATATTTCCACAGGCTTTCTGAATGAGTTACTTGTTTAATTAGCCGTCAGTCAGATTGAGGTCAAGGGCATTAAATCTATTTCCTATTGTCCAGTTAGTTTCAGAAATGCTACCTTGTTAAAAATGTGCTGTTAGCTGGCTATATGTAAACTCCTTATACCCCTCACACACACTTTGTCTAGTAATTTCTCAACTGCCTTAGCTTTTCTGTCACATTACCAGTCTACAAGTGGTGTCAGATAGAGGTTAGCATGGTTAGTGACTAGAAAGGCGCCTGAATTGAAATGGACAGAAATAGCTGTTGCTTTCTGCTGTACAGGAGGCGTCTTCTAATTCATTACTAGAAAAGCAATAATCCATAGCCAGGTGTGGAGCCTGGAACAGGAGGATTGCCACAAATCTAAGGCCATTCAGGATTACATAGTAAGTTCAAGGCCAGCCTAAATGTGAGGTGCTGGGAAGATGGACAAGTAGGATATCAGTTGCTGTGCATGGTCCCAGCAAGGTCGTATCAGGCCCTCGGCACTCACATTAAAAGGATGGTCATGGCAGAATACACGCATATGCCCAGCACTGGGTGGATGATGGAGACTGGAGGATGTCTGGGAAATGCTGGCCAGCCAGCCTAGCTGAAATATAGCAGTGAGCTCCACATTCAGTGACAGATCCTGTCTCAGGGGAACATGGGAAAGGGTGATAGAGGAGATGCCTGCTGCCCTTTCTGACTTCTGTATATACTAGCCTAGGCACAAGCATGTGCACACACACCACAAACAACAAAAATGGAAGAGAAGAAGAAAGTAAAAGCACAAACCCCAAGTCAACCATTCACCCATTCATCGTCTAATACTTGTAGACTGGGAAGAGAGCTGCAGTGACCCATCACTCACTTCGTCCTGAGCTACACCCATAGTTCCACACGTGAAAGAAATCCATGCACACTTTCTTTAGTGTACCTGCCAGGCAGACACCTCTGTTCATGCTTCTTTCTCTATTTCACCATCCTCCCATCTTAAAAACACCCTGACCTGTGTAGTGGAGTTAATAAGAGCGGGAGCCTCCTGGGTTAGTCTTGGGTTTAAATCTAAGTTCTCCCATTGACTGGCTGGATGGCCCAGTACAGTTACTTAATGTAACAAATCAACCTGGAGACAGATATTTGGTTCAAGCTGAAGATCAGAAAGGCAAAGCAGACAAACCACTAGTGAGCCCTTACCTCTACCAAGGCTGGAAGAGGGAACCTGTCCTCATTGTGGCTGGAGACTAAATGCATGCTCTGAGACTCTACTTCTGTCTAGTTTGCCTCTCTAGTGCTGGGATTAAAATCATGCACCACCACCACCCAGCATCTATGGCTAACTAGCATGGCTGTTGGGAATAAAATTGTGTACCACCACTGTCTGCCCTTTATGGTGGTGATTAGCTTTGCATTCTAATCCAGGCAAGCTTTATTACATCATAAACAATATATCACCATAACTTAATCTTTCTCAGTTTTAATTCATACTATGGTTAAATGAATAAAATAACATACTATATAGAGTCAATGCAAGGTTGAAATAAGACAAAATGTAAGTGCCTGCCTCTTTATTGAGTCCTTTATTTGCCCAAAACAAACAGTATTCCATGTTTCTAGTTCCAAGGTAAATGAAATTTGTACTGATAGAAAATGTGTTCCCATTAAAACTATGTATTTGCAAGCAGACTCTTGGCATGATTTCTGCTTGGAACTCTATCAGCAAATATGACTATGAAAAATACTGTTTTTCATTAATGATGAGATTATGGCCAGTCCAAGGAAGTTCAATTGTCTCTAAGGTAAAAACAGCTGATGCAACTTGACTATTACCTTAGCAGTTTGGATTCTACTGTCAAAGCTCTCTGAACAAAGGGCCAGTGGCTTTGGGGTCTGTCACTTAGGCTTGATAAGTCCTCTCTTGATAATGTTTAAAAGTTTTTAAAAGATTTATTATTGTTATGTGTGTGTGCCTACATGGGTTTATATGTACCACATGTGTGCAGGAGGCCACAGGTGCAGAAAGAGGGTGTGTGATACCCTGTAACTGAAGTCACAGTCAGTTGTGAGCTGCCATGTGGGTGCTGGGAACTGAACCTGGGGTCTCCTCTGCTCCAGGCCACAGGATTATACAGGAAGATCTCAGCTGACAAAATCATGAGGCTAACCCACCAGGATCATCAAGCATTCCATTGGAGGAAATCCAATTTGCAGATTTGGGGATACCTGCCTTTTGTATAGTCACTGTCACTTCTATACAATCCCTTTTCCATAGTGGGATTCGCCCCCCAAAACCCCAGCAGTGTATTAAACAATTACTGGGCACAACCCTGTTTACTGATGCAGTGGATAACCTTCCCCCACACCAAGGGGCCCTGGTGTGAAAATATTCACAGTCAGGAAAGCATTTTTCTCATACTCAAATCTAGTCCCCTACAGTTGTCTCTTATGGGAGGACATCCTACAAGGACAGGAGCCTTGCCAACAGGCCACATTCAGAGCTTCAAAAGACAGGCACTGAAGAGCAGACAGGCCTGTCTGCCCCCACTGACAAGCAGGACTGGGCAGCCTTCATTTCCCGAAAAGCAGACTCAGGAGAGTGCAATCTACTGGTCCCTGCTCTATATTAACAATCTATTAATGTTCTGAACTCACCTCCATCTCAGTGTCGCTGATACAAGATCTCAGTCTAGGAAATTAACTCTTTGTGCCTTTGCCCCTAGAGATCCAGGAAAAAAGCATTGGATCGCTTGACCAGCCACTGTCACCAGGCATCAGCAGTATGAGCGCCCTGCTGCTTAGCCTGCTGCAGATTCCTCCAGAGGACATGGAGACTTTCCCTTTGATCCGGTGCTGGGAGATTTCAATAACATTTGTCAAAAATGCTAATGTGGATCCAGGGTCCACTTTCCTCCCACAGGTTGTGCCAGTTGCCATGGTTACCGTGAAGCTGTGTCTCCAGACCCCACAGAAGGAAGCAGAAGAAAGTGCTTAGAGAGCCCACAGCACTGCCAGGTTTTCTTCAAGTCTGTGAATACAGCTGCTAACTTCTAGCTCAGCCTGCCACACAAATGTAGTTTATGAACAAACATCCCTGCTCCCCTCTTAGAAGTCATAACCCCTTACTCCATTAACACTTCCTGCCTCTTAAGATTTGCTCAGACATTTGTTTTAAAAAGCCATGCCCCCTCTGAGACATAAGGCATCCACTTTGTCAGATCTTATCTGTTTTCAGGCCCTGAGAAATGCATGCCTGGTACCTTTACTATTGCCAGAGAATTGCTAATTGTGTCTCTGTGGGTATATAAACAGGACATCTGGGAGATCAGAAAGAATAAAGAGACGTAAGTAGGATATGTCTATGAGCTGATTCAGCAACCCTCAGATCATTTTAGCCAGCCCTCATGTTTAGCATCCTGCCTGGACCGTGATGGGAAACTGAGGCTGACACTTGGAGGTCTGCATACTCCTCAAGAACAAGTTTCAAGGGATCTGAATCTCTCTTCTGACCCCCATATCACCAGGCATGCAGTCATACACAGACATCTATCCAAAACAAACACTTTGCACCCTTGGCCTCCACAAATAATTGACTTTCTGATTCCAAGCCGGATCCAAAGTTACATCTGGCAAGTTCCAAATGGCAGCTCTCTAAGGCACCCACTCTTTTTCTTGAGAATATATTTAATCAATCAATGGAAGATGAGACTGCCAAGTTTGAAGAGGGCAGGAGGAATTCTTGGCCTCACTTAAATAAGTGAGGGATCATTCCACAGAGGGTGAGAGAAGGTGGAGGAGGAGAGCCATGTTAAAAAAACAAAGCTGACCTCAGAAACTGTATAAATACAAAGCAGCTACAGAGTGGAGTGCAGCCACCATCAGGAAAGACTCAGTCCTGACAGAGAGACCACCCTGTTCCCTTCCAAAATGAAGCTGCTGCAGGTGCTGTTGCTGCTGGGTTTGGAAATGATGCTAGTCTGTGTCCATGCAGAAGGAAAAACAAATCTCATTGGAAAGAACTTTAATCCAGAAAAGGTAGACTCATGGAGCATGGAGACTTCTGAACCAGATGGTGCTTCGGGGAACTCAGAAGCCACATGGGTCCTTTGAGGAGAGGGTTGTGGCTCCTCACTCTGTGAGACACATGGGAGGCTTCAGACTGTGATGCAAGACCAGCTGTTTCCTATCCATACCCAACAATGCCTGGGGTCCCTCCCACCGAGAGACAGAGACAAGATCTTAAGTATTGGCCAACTGATGTGAGATCTAATCCCGGGCATGCTCATGCCCAGGCCCATAGGCCAGGGTTCAAGTGGAAACACATCCATGAGGTGTCCCTGCCCTTCCCCCATTAACAATTTGCTTATCTATTACAGATTGATGGAGAATGGTATACCATTGGATTGGCCTCTGACAAAAGAGAAAAGATAGAGGAACATGGAAGCATGAGAGTTTTTGTGGAGTACATCCATTTCCTCAAGAACTCCTCCTTAGCTTTCAAATTCCATACTATGTAAGTGTGGTGTTCTTAGCTGAGAAGGAAGAGATGGAAGCCTGTCATGGACTCAGGCCTCTGTACACACACACACACACACACACACACACACACACAGCCTGAATCCAAAACTAAAGTTCCCTCATCTGACATTAAACCAGATTTCATAACTGGGGCTTTTCCAAAATTCAGAGACAAGCGTTGGTGACAGGAACAAATTCACTGGGGATAGAATAAGTAAAGGTCAGAGGCAATTCTGAAACCACAACTAATGAGATATTAGCACAGCTTAAAAGTAGATGATCATGAACTAAATATTTCTGAGTAGTTGTTATCCAAGAGAATCCACCCTTCAGCTACAATAAAGGGGGTAATAATAGTTCTCCTCTGCGGGGTGGGAGGGGCACATTAAGCAACATTTGCAAAGCTCTAATTTGATGCAGACTGTGAGCATCTGGCTGGTAATCTGCACAAGTGAGTGACACTGGGAATTAGTCAGAGTTGTAACAGTGATTGTCATTCTTTTTCTAAATGATGGCAAGTATGTGATTCCTGAAGTACCAAGTATGAGTGAAATATGAGTGAAATAACACTAAAGAAAGCCATTGCTCATTAAAAAAAAAAAACACATTAAGAAGTTATGTGGAATCAGAAACTGGAGATTTGGATAGAACAGAGGCTGAGGGGGCTAGCAATAGCAATACCCTTAAATACATGACTCTATTTCACAGTGTAAATGGAGAGTGCACCCAGCTGTATTTAGTTTGTGACAAAACAGAAGAGGATGGTGTATATGTTGTCAACTGTAAGTATCCAAAAAGTCTATGTATCTATCCACAAGAAACTTAGCAAACCCTAATGCCTTTATTGTGTGCTTTGTGTGTGTGTGTGTGTGTGAGAGAGAGAGAGAGAGACAGACAGACAGACAGACAGACAGACAGACAGACAGACAGAGATCACATGTGCCCATTTTCTGGGGATTGAATTCAAGTCCTTGTACATACTAGTCAAAAGCTCTACTACACCCCAACCCTCTTTAGACTCTCACTTGCTTCCTGATCATTGTTTATTGAGCTAATGCAACAGGGGCCAACTAATAACTCACATCCTGGCTTTGGGCAAGAGGAACAAGTAAGGTAAGATGGCTGCTCATCTCCTGCCATCTGTCTGATTCTGCCCAGTGGCAGCCATCAGTGCTCATTGCTCATGATGAGCACTGGTATTTGGTACAGTGAGCTTATGAAAGGCAGAGACAGGTCACTGGAAGCTGTTCATGGAAGTAGACAGGCTTTGGGGAGGATTACAGATGTGAGCTGCTGCTGTGGCTCTCTGTTCACTAGAGGTCAAGCCATCAGCATCTCTTCTCCTCGGAGTTAGTTCATAAAATTCAAAGAGCTACAGATAGAAAGCAGCAGACATTTTCACCCCTCTCTATTACAATATGTATTTTAATTTTTTATGTGTGATGTAGAACAAGTAAAAGGTTTCCGTTATTTCCTGTGGAACAAAGAATTTCTGATCTGTGTTCCATTTCTTCCACAGATGACGGATATAATATATTTACTATACTTGATGTAGACTACGATCGTTATATCATATTGCAACTCAGAAATGTCAAGACTGGGGAAACATTCCAGTTGATGGAGCTCTATGGTAGAGTATTTTACACAGACACTGATCTTGGGGTGGGAAGAGAAGAGAAGGAAACCCTAGCTCAACATGGTCTTTCCAGCCTGGCCCTGAACTGCCTCTATCTTCCTTACCTCCTGAAGACAGACTCTCTCCTCTGTCATCCCTCAGGCACAGTGGTGGGAGGACTCTGAAATCCCTCACTATGCCAGAAAGATGTCCAATGGATGACAAATTCATGACAGGCATGGTCATGCCTGTTGACCATGCTGTCAATCATTTTCACCTCCTTGGGGGGTGGGGGCTGTCCCATCACTCAGCTCAGGGAATGTGATCAGTACACAAGATGCAATCACTACTCTCACCATTATTTTTCACAGGCCGGACACCAGAGCTGAGTTCAAACATCAAGGAAAATTTTGGGGATATAAGCAAGATGTATGGAATTCCTGAAGAAAATATATTTGACCTAACTAAGTCTGGTAAATCAAGATTCATATATATTTCTTTTCCTGATTTTATATCAAAAAAAAGGACAAACCCAGGAGACTGGCAACCAGACACATGTTGGGCTGGAGAAGCTCCTGGTTTCTCTTGGGGAAATAAATTGGACCTGGTACCTGAATGTGTTCTTGTTCCTACCCTACAGATCGCTGTCTCCATGCCCGAGGCAGAGGGAAGGCCTGAGCATCCAGGTGGGTAAACTCCAGTGAGAGTGAAGAGCAGGTAGACAAAAATGAGACCCTTCCAAAAGCATTAGTATTGTGACCCAAAATTACTATAAAAATAATTGATAAGGAACCTTTGACAAGAGCTTGAAATTTGTCTCAAATTGTCTGGGTTTGTGAGTTAGTCCTAACATGAGCTTTCCAGTAATTGACCCAAGCAATTTAATAAGAACACAAGGATATGGGCTGATATAGTTGCATACCATTGTGTGAAAAGAGCTCAGCAATGCATCAAACATCATTAAGAATGTGAGTAGAGGTGCTCACCACTAACTGGGGTCCCCCTCCCTCCCACCCTGATAATAACATCTTCCTTTGAAGTCTATAGAGCTTTGGCTCCTTACATGGGAATGGAACTTCCTGATCTGCATTCCTCCTGCAGTCTGGAGAGCACACTGAGTTCCCGCATCTGTCCTCTTTCCCATTTATAACAAGACTTCACTCTAATAATATGTGAAAGCCTTGAAAAGTACTTTTATCATAGTTCCTTAGTTTACTGAAAATTCTTCAGAGCTGTGTAATGAGTCTTTCTCTGTTCCACCAGCCAGCTCCCCAATAATGACTCAGACTTGTTATTGATTATGAGAGTTTGGCCTATAGATTAGGCTTGTCCCTAACTATCTCTTATAACTTGAATTGACCCATTTATATCATTCTACATGCACATGGTGTTACCTCTCTTCCAACTTGCACCTCCTGCTTCCTCTGCAGTTCCTCTGGCTGACAGCTCTGCCCCTTCTCTTTCTCTCTGCCTGTAAGTCCCACCTCAATGTCCTGCCTTATTATTGGCCATTCATCTCTTTCTTAAACCATCTTCACACAGTGTACAAATATCCCACAACAGAGCTGCTTATGCCAAAGAGAGTGGGAAGAAGCCTCGGACATTTCATTACTTTTATTTTTCATAGGGCATCAATAAGGAAAAGCTCATTTATTCTATGCTTTCCGCCCTCTATTTTGGTTAGTAACATCAGGCAGATGATGTTTCTTCACCCTTTGCTCTGTATAATAGAATGGCTCTGTGTCCTGAAGTCATCTCTAGCAGTGCTTAATGAATGCCTGTATTCTTTCTTCCTGGCTGACTCAGAGTTAAGTGGAGACTTCTAACCTGGACTTCAACTTCATCCCTTCCTGTCTACACATCGTCCTGTGGCAACTCCTGTGATCTGATTCCCATCGCTGTCCCCCAAGACAGCATAAACCCTGCATTCCCAGCATCTTTCCTGATTACCTAGGATTACTCATCCAGAATCAAAGGCTTTCTTTCAAATGTCTCTTTGCCACACCCATGGCAACTCTCCATGAATGTCTCCCTCTCCCTGTTCAATAAATGATTAATCCTGCAATTACATATATGTCTCTGTGTCCAAAAAATGTGAGAATGACTAAGTGCATGAGGGGACCTGCTGGGTACTGTAGCTGAGATCCTTCCTGGTTACCCAGAATCAAACCTGAGTTTCAGGTTTTACCTCCTGTGCAATAATCTCAAGGCCCAATGAGTGCTGCCTGCTCACCGGTTCTCCTCTTTTAGTTGCCTTATCTGGACCATAGGTACACAGACGTGCTGCAAACTTTCTTCATCCACAGAACCTCTTTTTCAACAGAGCATGGAGAGACAAAGGCTTCTGAGGCTATGCCTACTCAACATGGTTTCAGATATGCCCCACAGAAAAAGGAATAGTTTGCTCACTAGAGGTACAAAAGATAAACAGAAAAGGCTGCCTAACTCTCCACAGCATGCTCTGACACCTAGATCAAGAGATTAAATTGGGTTCAAGCTCATGGCTCCTTAATCGGGTTATAGGTGTGCTTTGCTAAAATATGGCAAAACACTATTGAGAAACACAACCAATTATGCTGGAAACTCCACTCACTGTTCCCAGTCCACCTCCTGATGGATTCTTCCTGTGTTTCCTAGACAGGCCTGAAATTCCTGGGTCCAAGCCATTCTCTGGCCGCAGCTTCTTAAGTACTGCTATTCCTAGTTTTCATTTTTAATAAAATTAAATAAATAGCAGCTCTAACGCAGGACTTAGTTGATAGGAAATGCCTTGACAGTGCCACCATGGGACAAGAGATCGCAACCCAGAGGAAGGCTCAGAAAAATCTTCGGCTGCTCCCAGGTTAGGATGGCAGCTTGAGTTCACCCTGAAGCTGTCCCTTAAACACCAAACACTTATAGAAATGAGTCAGAAAATAGTAAAACCATTCAAAGTCAAGGAGGAGTATGCTAACCTCAGATACAGGGCAATCCCTTTCTAAGGGAAGATACAGGGAAATGGTTGTTGGCAGGGTTAACTATTCTCCATGATATGGGAGCTCACTGCAGCTACCAGGATACAGGACTGGGGGTAACTGTCACAAAGGGATGTCAGATGAGGAGGTACCTCCTCAGAATAACATGACTGAGGCAGAGAAATTTTGAGGACAGCTCCCCACCCTTACCTGGACATACAACAAAAAGACAACTTCCTGGACTGCAGAAACAGGCACCACCCATATAAAAGATCAAAACAGCTATTGCTGTCTTGGGGCTGGCCTGGCTTTTAGATCTAAGTGTCCCCATTTCTACAAGCTGGCCTGATGCTCATGGCTGGACCACAATGCCTTGCTGGATATACATAACCTCATAAAACAGCAACATTAGGCAAGACCATTCTGAGATGATTAAAAATAAGGTCATTTGTCATCTATAAACATCATCCTTGAGCTGAAATGAGTGACAGCTACTTTTCCACGAATTACAGAGCTAGCTTGATGTTTGCCTCCACTTATTATAAATGGGATTCATTGTACTCTCTAATCACTGAGCTGTCATTGTTCTCCAGTTGTACCTATCCCAGATCTTTCTAAGACACTCCCAAATCCTATAGCAGGTTCCTTGTTCAGTCCTTTTGAAAAGATTGTCTTGTGTGTGTTTGTGTGTGTGAATGCAGGTGTATATGTGCATGTGTGTTTGTAAAGCTAGAGGCTGGTGTCAAGTGACTTGCTCTATCACTCCCCACCTTGTATTCTGAGATACAGTCTTCTGCTGAACAAGAGCTTGTGAATGTGACTATATCGACTGCCGCACAGACACTTGGGTCTCCTGCCTCTGCTTCCTCAGTGCTGGGATTACAGGTGTGCACCACTGTACTTGACTTCTTCTGTGGATGGTGAGAATCCAAATTTAGGTCTTCAGGCTTCCAGGAAATGTACCCTACTAACTAAGGCAGCTCCTTCAACCTGGTATCTTTCTGAGATGCCCCTGACGCCCCTTGGAGCACCCTTCCCAACTTCAGTAGTAGACAAGTAAAACCAACCTTGTATTACTTACAAGTTTGCTCCTAGTAGACTTTAGTCAAGTGATATTCAGTTTTTGAGACAAAACATAGGTTACTCCATGACTTGAAAACACTAGCCTAATTCATAAATTCAATGTTTGGTTTGCTGTTCTGCCCTTAAAAGGGGACAGAACCAAGTAAGTCTTTAAATTTTAGTGTGAGACATCAGAATAAGAGGGCTGCCATTGCTTCAAATCTCTTGGGAGAATAGATTTAGTGGAGAAGCAAAGGTCCCAGTTTGAAACCTTTCCTTATTTAGGTAAGCCACTATAAAAAGACCTTAGGGCAGGGAAGACAACTCAGTTGGTAAAGAGCTTGCTGTGCAAGTGTGAGGACCTGAGATTGATCCCTGGATTCACACAATAGAGTTAATCTGATGGAGCACAGTGGCACATGTTTGTAATGTCAACACTGGGGAGACAGAGACAGGCAGATCCCAATGGCTCAGCATGATGGATGGCCCAGCCTCTACCTCATCCTGCTGGGCTCCAGGGAAACAACAGCTTTCCAAATAGAGTGGACAGTCTCAGACAAACAACACTAGAGGTTGACCTCTGGCCTTCACACACACGGACACTTGCAAAGCTGTACCAGTGCACACACACATAATGAACACCCACTCACACGCACGCACACACACACACACACACACACACACACACACACACACACACACACACACGGGCCCAATCATAATCCAATATGACTCAGTGAAGATGGAATTAATTTCTCTTTCCATGTATTCATTCAGAAACCTGGTTCTTCCTTTCTATTATCCCATGGGATATATCCTTGTCCACATGGTAAAAAATAAGCATAGACAGTTGGAAACCCCTGTCTTCTGTTCACTCTTCTTTGGCTCTGAATCCAGGAAGTTCTGCCTCATTTGTTATACTTCACGGCCAATTTCTGCTTCCTGTTTGCTCAGATTCAGAACAATTATCTTGAGCATTCATGCCTCATCAAAGGCCAGGCATGAATTTCTTTTGGCATCACATTTCTTCAAAAACATAGAGGATGGGTGGTCCCGCCCTGGCATGCCGGACTATCTGGAGCCTGCCCTCACCTGACCCTTGGCGCCCTACACCCTCTGCTTAACACCTCCAAGATAGCTCAGACCACCAGAGTAACTGACATGGGAGTCCTGACCCACCTACACCCACTAGGAGAGGAGAGGAGAGGAGAGGAGAGGAGAGGAGAGGAGAGGAGAGAGACCCAGACTGCACCCACCAGAAGAAGAGATGGGAAGATGGCAGTACAAGAGCACATTCAACAATAGAAAGACCAATACAACACCACCACCACCAGAATCTAGGGACTCTACACCAAAAAGGACTAAACACACCAAAGCAGATGAAGCAGAAGAAATAACCTTAAAAACAACTTCATGAAAATGATAAAGAGCCTTAAAGAGAATATGAGAAAAATCCCTCAAAGGAATGGAAGAAAAAAACAAACAAAAAAAAATGGAAGAAATAGAGGAAAAGACTAACCAAAAAAATGCAAGAAATCAACAAATCTCTTAAAGAAAGCAAGGAAAAACAATCAAGACCTGAAAACTGAAATAGAGACAATAAAGAAAACACAAACTGAGGTAATGCTGGAAATAGAAAAGCTAGGTAAATGATCAAGAACTACAGATGCAAGCATAA